ATAGAGTAAGCATGTTTAGTTTATAATTATGATAAGCAAAGGTGCCTCTTTCAAAGTTGTGAATTTCATGGCCTCTGGTTTAAAATGCGAATTCAATTGTTGTAAAGTTGTTACATGATACTCAGGTGACCTATAAGGCCCGTGGGCCTCTTGTTTATAACATTGATAACTGTTTCTTCAAGTAATGGTAATTCGGTATTGTTCATATGTTGTGATTTTTTACTCTACGGAATTGCTTCGTTAATACTTACCCAGACCCTACAATAAGTACATCGAGGTTAATATTAAAAAGATGTTAGAGTTTCTCCTTGACAACATCTGTGTAATTTTGGGAGATCAACTAAGTCTTCCAACAAACTGTTGAAATTTCCTATTGGCACTATTTGCGCTCCTTTATACATGTAAACTGATCTTTTTTTATTCCCATGTAACCGAATTATTGCAAGAGGGGAAGAAGAAAACACTTGCTGTAGCCTCTACACTCTGATATATCGATGAAGTTTCTTCGGTTAACAAGTTACTTCCATATCTCGCAGCTCGTTGTACAGAATATCCAAAAGAACTCGAAATATCAGTCACATTTGCTTCATATCTGGTTAATTTAATGGATCATTAACAATAAGGACTAATTTAATAACAATTGAACTGTGGGACAAACGTGATGATTCCAGCCTTTAGACCGTCAATCTTTCTAAATGATTTATAAAGTAATGTCCCAATCTCCCCTGCATAATGGTATTTATGTCTCCCAACTTATTCGAAACACATGGACCTTCTCATAATACGATCAATTTTTAAAAAGAGACAGGCTATTGTAAATAAGTTGATGCTACATGGATTTCAACGACCTCGTTTGAAGTCAGTATTCCTTAAATGCTATGGTCCTTATAGCAATCGTGTTCATAGCTAATCCAAGGAAATATACAGAGATAAAGAACAGTATTCAAGCTCAAAAGTCCATTAAACAATATACATGTAAACTAAATTGGAGCAGAGCAAACACGGTCTTCCAAATAATCAGAGGTGGGATCAGGTGCCATGGAGGAGTGAGCATCCCCTGTCGACCGGTCACACCCTGGCCCTATTCATCGGGTTGTATTTTTACTGGCATATTTCATTCTTGTTGTTTTATTCTGAACTTCTTCGGTAGATTTAAAATGAGGCTAGTCTTCCAGCGCGATGGCAACTTCTTGAAGTTCAAATCTTTCCAAGTGCCACTGCCAGTGCCTCTGATATATTATGAGTTCACAGCCTTCTGTAGCTCTCCGTTAATCTGAATCCACTCCAGGTGCTTTTCCATTTCAAAAGTTAATGATTGCTTCTTTGTCTTAATTTTATGTTGGTGGTTCGAAAATGATTGATTAGATGTGTTTTCTGCTCTGGTAATGTTTGCCTGGGTATCTTGATCATCCAGTCTTTAGTAAGTTGGTTCCTTTGTTTGTCTATGTCGATCAGATGTTTCAGCGTCACTGTTGTGACAGGGTCCTCATATCTTGTATCACATCCGTGCTCTCTGTCTTTGAGCTTTCGTTGCTAGCTCTCTTGAGTGTGCATAATTCAGGACTTACTAGTATTTGTCTAAAATGTATCTTTCTACGGCTTCATTTAAACATCTTCGATTTTCGTGATAAAATTTACCTTTTTATAAAAATTCATTCAATGACATTTTTTCCCTTTTTTCTTTATCATTGCGTGGATGTTTTTTACGGAGGCCCATTGAGTTCATTTTCGTAGGTTAAAAAAGGGGTGGGCACCGGACGTAATTATAAAGGAGCTGAGGAGGCACATAAAATTGTTTTCTAAAGTAAACGTTATATCCCCGAATTAAAATCGGGGGACACGGCATATTGGGGCACCCAAACCTTTCTATGACCATGATATTACTATTAAAACTTTTCACGATTTTACTAAAGCCTTCTTAAGAATTTTGTATTTTCTGGTGGCGGAAAGAAAATCTGTAAGTTTTTTTTAATCCCTTGCATTTTCGTTCCTAACAAGCAAATTCAAAGAATTGTGGTCCCCCACTTTCGGTGTCTTTGTGGGTGAGATGTCATTTTTTAAAAAGACATATTGTGTCAAATATGAACGCCCTATCAAATGTCATTTAAAAATTATCACAAGTTGATTTTTTAAAAATAAGGTCAATCGTGAAGGGCAAGATCAAGGGGTCAGAAATCATAGCACCCTCGGAAATATCTTGTCAGAAGTAATGCACATGTCAAATAGGAAGGCCCTATCTCTTCTCATTGTATAAGGAACAAGATGTGTTTTTTTAAAAACTGATGACCCGTATGGCAACAAAATGAAGACAAAATATGTTATAACCCAAAGTAGGGTCTTCTCACAAGAAATACCATTGTGAAATATGAAAGCCCTAACACCACCTGTTCAAAAGTTATGGCCAGGGATAAGTTCTTGAAATGTACGTCAAACTCCAAGGTCAAAGTTTTTGGTTTATTAAGAAAGGTCTTCTCACAAGTATTACAAATGTGAAGTATGAAAGCCCTAGCCAAAACTGTTCAAAAGTTATGACCAAGGTTAAAGAGTAGGTCAAACTCAAAGGTCAAGGTCAAAATTCTTGATATCCAATGAAAAGTCCTGTCACAAGGATTCAATATGTCAAGTATGAAAGCCCTGGTCCTTACTGTTCAAAAGTTATGGCCAAGGTTAAAGTTTTTCTGTAAGTACTTAATCTCCAAGGTGAAGGTCAAAAGTTCAAAGCTGTTTGTATCAAATAAAAGTTTTTGCCACAAAAATTACATATGTGAAATACGAAAGTCCTATATTCTATTGTTCAAAAGTTATGGCCAAGGTCATAGTTTTTAAAAAGTAGGTCAAACTCCAAGGTCAAGGTCAAAGGGTCAATGTTCTTGATATCAAATGAAAGGCCCTGTCACAAGAATTACATATGTGAAGTTTGAAAGCCCTAGCTCTTATACCCCTTCAAAAGTTATGGTCAAGGTTTGTTTTTTTTTAAAGTAGGTCAAACTCGAAGGTCAAGGTCAAAGTGTTAAAGTTCTTGGTATTCAATGAAAGGTCTTCTTACAAGAATTGAAGTATAAAAGCCCTAGCCCTTACCGTTCAAAGATTACGGCCAAGGTTAAAGTTTTTTCATAAGTAAGGTCAAGGTCAAAAGGTCAAACTTGTTGGTATCCAATGAAAAGCTTTGCCACAAAGAATACATATATGAAATATGAAAGCCCTAGTCCTTACCGTTCAAAAGTTATGGCTAAAGTAAACCAGAAGTCTCTGTCGAGACTGTAGCTCTACTGGTTTGTACTTATAACAAAGGATGAGAAAAGAAGCCATTGCCATCAGACCAAAACTGTAGAAGAAGTAGCGTTTTAAAGGAATTTCACAGATATTTCTATTTTTAGTAACAATGGCAACACCGTTCATCAAAATCAAAATCCGATGCACTGTAATATGTATCTTAGTGTAGTCTATCTGTGTGCCAAGTTATACAGAAATCAGACCAAAATTTTAGGAGGTGTAGCATTTTAAAGGAATTTCACAGAAAATTATATTTTTAGTAACCATGGCAACACCGTTCATCAAAATCAAAATCCGATGCACTATTTTATGTATCTTAGTGTAGTCTACTTGTGTGCCAAGTAATACTGAAATGAGACCAAAACTGTAGGAGGAGTAGCATTTCAAAGGAATTTCACAGAAAATTCTATTTTTAGTAACCATGATAACACCGTTCATCGAAATCAAAAACCGATGCACTATTTTATGTATCTTAGTGTAATCTACTTGTGTGCCAAGTTATATTGAAATCAGACCAAATCTGTAGAAGGAATAGTGTTTTAAAGGAATTTCACAGAAAATTCTATTTTTAGTAACAATGGCAACACCGTTCATCGAAATCAAAAACCGATGCACTATTTTATGTATCTTAGTGCAGTCTACTTGTGTGCCAAGTTATATTAAAATCAGACCAAAACTGTAGGAGGAGTAGCGTTTTGAAAAATTGTTTACAGACAGACAGACAGACGGACGGACGACGGACACCTTACTATCTCATAAGCTCTTCTGGTCTCTGACCAGTAGAGCTAAAAATAAGAATTTTAGTGTAAAAGTAGGTCAAACTCCAAGGTCAAGGTCAAAAGGTCAAATTTGGTGGTACCCAAAGAAAGGTCTTGTCACAAGGAATACACATGTAAAATATGAAAGCCATAGCGCCTCTCAATCAAAAGTTATGGGTAAGGCTAAAGTTTTTGTGACGGACGGACAGCTAGACATAATGACGGACGGACAAATGCCCCCTCGCTTTCGCGAAAGAGGGGGACAAAAAATAAAGCCGAGAATGGGTCGTGAAGATGGAGAAGCTCGCTTTTCTCTTCATGAGTACCACTTCCAGGAGAAAAAATTTCAGTTAGAGAGTGCGGTATGAAGAAAATCAACCAATAAAGATTAGTTAGTCACTATTGAAGGTTATACAAGGTTTTTGATACTTTTGGTTTGATTACATCTTCGGTAGCCGAGGGTTTCTGATACGCCACTTTCCTCGTTTTCGTGAGGAGAGTAGCGTATAAGAAACCCTTGGATAGCGAAGATGTTTTGATTACTGCTTTTGAAGCTCTGTTTCGAGCTTGAATGGAACATTAAAAGAAATTGCACAACTCAGTGAACTCTGATAAAATGTTACATGTTCAACCCCCCACCCCCACCCCAATCATTGTCTAGGAGGAAATTTAAGTTGCACATCGTCAAAAAACTAGAGAGATTCGTTACAAAGTTATGACTTTATCGCTATTGTGCAAATGTTGCCTCCCAAAAGGTTTTGAAATTCACTAGTTCACAAATTAGGAGATTCACAAGTTTAAAAAAAAGAATCATTTAAAACACATGAGTATTAACGAAGTTATTAATATTCGTCAAGGAAGTGTACACACGCGTCTTAAAAATTAAATGAATAAATGCAGTCTGCCTTGAAGTTCACTGTGAACCACTTTAAAAACCATAAAGTTATATATCAAGAGAATAATAAATACCTCCAAGAATGACCCAGGCATACCCACGGTCCACGTCGAGTTTCGCCATAGTTAAAAATCACGATCAGCTGTTATCAAGTTAGTTCTAGATATGCACAGTACATGCATACTTGTATTCCAGTGTAGTTATGCTAAAAAAACACTTCATCGTTATGTACACAGACCTGAATAATTGTACATTTACTTTATAATCAGGACGGGGTTAATGTGCATTCGGTGATTCCAACTGAACTATGTGTCATTGACATCGTCTTAAATATTTATGAAAATATTCTGAAAATCATCTTATTCTGTTGTCTTAATGTTTATAGGGAATAGCCTATAATGGATTTTTAAAACCCCAGTCACATTTCCAAAAACGACCAACAGCCGACGTTTTTTGAAGCCAAAATGGGATTCTTCGGGTGCATCGGCCGTTGTCTTGCCCGATTTTGACCTCTTTTTTTGTAGGCCGACCGATTTTGTGTCCATCGGTCCAAGTTATCATTTTTTCTGCGTCGGTGGCCGATTTCCTCAATTGAAGTTATCCGTCGACCAACCTTCGATCATCGTCCGACCATCGGCGATCAGTTTCTTAAGTCGGGCGTGCGTCGTTTGACAATAAGGGTGTCAAAAATTTCGACCGACGGTTAAAATTAAACTGTAGCTCAGAGCTCGATGATCGGGCGACGATTGGCGGACTTGTGAATATTTAATCTATAAAGGATTCACAACACAAACAAAATGTTGATGCATGGATTGATAAATATTTTTGAACGGAAATAACATTAGATAATTAATCCGTAAGACATAAAGAAATCCTAAGTATTCTTTGCTGCTTAGATACGCGCCATTTGTCGTTATTTTATGTAATTCTATACAAACTTTAGCACATATTTTTAACATTGAGCTACAATCTTACAAAATGCTACCACTTTGCCTTGCAAACATTACTCACATCACCTATCTGAATATAGATCTATGAAAAATATTGCTGATTTTTAAAGAAAAAAGATTTGTTGTGTAATTTATCCAAGTCATCGGTGTTCCTAGGAATTAATGTGACTGCTCCGTGTCGCCCGATACTCGTGTCGACCGATCATGTTTTTCAGCCGACAAGACCAGAAAAATTTAGTCGCCCGACCATCGACTTAAATGTGACCTAGGCATTAATCCCATAAACTTTAATACGTATACGTGCATACGCTCTGAAATTGGTGTAATATTCGATTTAGATTGGGGGGGGGGTTAGCTAGTTGTAGTTGCATACACAATCCAAGATAGGTTCCTCACAAACAAAGAACTATATATGGTATTGGCCGTTGTAGGCCTCCATTCAAAATAACAAATTTTTAACATCATTTAGAAGTACACACCATGACTTAAAAAAAAATAGTATACGAAAAGTTGTCAGACAATTTGGGGGCCGCAAATGAAAGAAACCCTATATAGTTCTTTGTATACTTTGATATGTTAAGGTAATAAGCTTATTTAAATATTTAGTGGTGAAAAAAATATTCTTTATCAATTTCGTGGAACGAAATAATTATTCACTAAGAGAGTTTAATTAGCAATGCTGCAATTGTTCATATAGAAATAAAAGCGATTATTTTTTATGATATATCTCTATTAATTAACGAGTCGCTTTTTTTTTAATTCATGCCAAAAAGACTGAGACACCATCAAGGAATATGCTGATCTCTTCAATTAATAAAGAACCTAAATATACTATGCTTGCGAAGATTGGTGACTTGTAAAAAATGTTTAAAAAATAAATTGTCATTTGTCTTGGCATAAAACCATTTTTCGTGCGAGTCAACGCGGTTAAATCTAATACAAAGAGTAACCTTAAAATCTCCAGAAGATAAGTGCCAAGCACCGATATGCCACTGTACTGTGAAATATAAAACAAGGAAATGGCAAAGGACAGCCTCATAGACACTCTAAATACTGAAAACGGATATGAAATTTACAAAGTAAAAATTCAAACACATGACATTAATTTATTCCTTCTTGTAAAGAGTACAGCGTTAACATTTCAACAACTCTCCCTTCTCTTTTCTGTCCCGTGCGCGGAGTTCGTATATTTTGGCCCTGGTTTGCGACGATGCGTAATTTGCAGAGTGATTCTTAAAAAGTACCGTAAAAGTTTTTTGGCTTGTCAAGATTTTTTTTTGGACTGAAATTGGACCCCCTGAAAAAAATTTCTTGATCCGCACCTGTGTTCTATTTTATATGACATGGTTGCATGCCAGTATATTTGGAGAATCGAAATGAAATCTAAATGATTTACATATATTAAATAATAATATTATATTGCTGAAAAAAAATTCCCATCGGCGGTCCAGTGTGCATTTTCTAATATTCCGGATCTTAATGTTCTATGCTATTGGTTCTGAGTTTTAATTTTTCAATCATGGCTGACACCGGGCAGAAAGAGCTGGAACTGTTGTTTTTTGATACATTTTCGCATGAAAATGCCGAGGTTTGTGATATATAATATTTGTTTTATACACATATACCATTTTCCTGATAGAACATAGGTAGCGGTTCTTATAACACGTTTTTTCTAGAGATATGCACACCTAAAACCTAGTTTCACTTTGAAAACGTGGGTCACACCACTGTGACAATGGAATGAGTATTAACTATTTTTGCCATCATATCTTTAAATAAGAAATGAAATATATATTTTCAAAATATGTAAAGATCGAAAAACATTGGATGAAATGAACATTTCTGATTCCTATACAAAGAATTTTATTAAATAAAGCAAGTTTTATATCTGTATCTGTATTGTTACATCACAGTAACCCCATTGGGCTTTGATGTGACGGATAGAGGGCGCTTTAGTCGCGAAGATGTTCTATCGCCGACTTAAAGCTTTCTTGCTTTGGGGCGCGGACCGCTTTCTCTTCCAGGTGGTTCCAGTCTACAGCTGTGCGTACAAAGAATGAATTCTTCAGTTGGTCTGTCTTTGTATCAAGTATCTCAACTGCACGGCTGTTATTCCTGATCCTATTACTTATAATATTTGTCGCTTGATAGTCCTCGTACACTTTCGGTCTGATGTTTCTTTTCGGTTTTTGGAATTTTATATATTGGTCTGGTTTAATAGCTGGTATCTGCCCCTCAACCACTTTGTAAAAAAAAGATTAGACGTTGTTGTTGGCGTCTGGTTTGTAATAAGGGAAGGTCAAGATCTTTAAGCATCTTTGTCATTGTACCCTCTTCCCTTGATTTATAGTCTTTGGTTATGAATCTTGCGCCTCTTCTTTGGATGGATTCTAATTTTGTTGATTCTTGTTTGGTGTATGGATCCCAGATGACAGCTCCATACTCCATTATGGATCTTACTAGTGCTATATATGCAATCTTTCTACATTCCCTTGGACAGTGTTGTAAGTTCCTTCTTAGGAAGCCTAGGGTGGAGTTGGCTTTATTTGAGATGTTGTTTATATGTTCTTTCCATTTCAGGTCTTCTTGTATTTGTAGTCCTAAGTAGGGATTTGATGCCACTTGTTCTAAGTTGTGGTTCTCAAGGGTGTATTGGCTGTTTATTTTTCTACGTATGCTTAGTACATAGCATTTTTTTGCGTTAAATCTCATACCCCAGTCAGATTGATCTTTGGGTGATTTAATTTCCCTGTACAAAAGGCAGTCGTCGGCAAAAAGCCTAACTGAAGATTTTACTGCGTCAGGGAGATCATTTATATGGCAGAGAAAAAGTATGGGTCCAAGTACTGTTCCCTGTGGTACCCCGGATTCCACGCTAGTGTCGTCTGAGTATTCCCCATCTAACTGGACTCTCATTGTCCTTTTTGTTATTAAGTTTGTTAACCAGTCATGGATTTCTCCTCTTATCCCGTATTGATTGAGTTTGTGTAGGAGTCTATCATGGGGAACAGTGTCGAATGCTTTCGAGAAATCCAGGATTGCTACGTCTACTTGGTGACCCTTGTCGTAGGATAGTAACATGTCGTGTAGTAACATGTCGTGTATGGTTATAGCGAGTTGGGTTTCGCAGGAATATCCGGACCTGAAGCCGTGGTTCAAGGATGTTAATATTTTGTTGCATTCCAAATGTTTCATCATTTGTCGACATATGATATGCTTTAGTAGCTTGCAGGGTACTGATGTTAAGGAGACTGGTCTGTAGTTTTCAGCTGCGTGTCTATCCCCTTTTTTGAAGATACACGATATGTTTGCGCTGAGCCAGTCTTTTGGTAATTCCCCTGTATCTAGTGATTTTTGGTATATAATCGACAATAATGGTGCTATTTGGTCTGCACATTGTTTCAGGACTCTGTTTGGGATGTTATCGGGTCCGGCTGCTTTTGATGGATTGATGTTTTTAAGCAGTTTTGCCACGCCTTCTTCTCTGATGGTGATTCTTTTTATTCCTGTTTTTAGGTTGATGTTTGTCGAGGGCATTGTTTTTACTTTCCCCTTTGTGAAGACTGATGAAAATTGTCTTAGAAGGATCTTTGCTTTTTCTTTGCTGTCATTGATTAAATGCCCTTTATCTTTTAGGGTGCTACTCTGATGTTATCTTGTTTGCGAGATTTAACATATTTCCAGAATGGTTTCGAGTTGTTCTTATCCATGCCTTCCAGGATTGCTGTATTTTTGTAGTTCCATTCTGCTTTCCTGATTTGTCTTTTGCATTCTTTTTGGTGGTGTTTATAGTTTGTCCATGACCCTGTTCTTTTTGCTTGGTTGTACAGGTTTTGTTTCTTCTTGATCATCTTTTTGATTTTGTGGTTGATCCATGGGAGCCTATTGTTGGATTTTATCATTTTTGTTGGTACGTTATTTTTTAGGCTGTTGAATAGGATGGTTTTGAATGTTTGCCACATATTCTCGACGTCTTTATTGTTCGTATCCAGATCAATCAGTAGGTCTTTTGTTTCTCCAAGGTCTTTGTTTAGTCCTTCCCAATTCGCCTTTGACCATATGTATACTGTCCGAGGGTTTTGTTTCTGGTAAAACGGCTTTGTATCTAGGTCGGTAATGACTATTGCATGATCCGAGATGCCTGGGATTACAGAAGATGATTTGACTAGGGAGGGGTTTGTTGTGAAGACCAGATCCAGGTTGTTGTTTTTCCTAGTGTTTTCCCTTTGAATTTGGGTTAACCCCGCTTGAGATGTGACATCTACCAGTGAGCTCTGTACCTCTTTGTCCGTTGCGTTTCTTTTGAGTCCTAAATTGTCCCATAGTATGTCTGGGCAGTTGAAATCGCCAGCTAGAATGATGTTACTTTGGCCATCTTCTGAAATTAATTTGAATGATTTCTCTAATTCATCTACAATGTTGATGTTTCTGCGAGGCATGTAGAATGCACCTATTAATAGGTCTTTTGCGTTTTTTAGTTTGATTTTTATCCAGTCAATCTCACATGCTGTTACATACTGAGGTTTTTCCGTGGCTATTATGTCTTTGTTGACTAGTATGAATACTCCTCCTCCCAATGTGCCCCTGTCATTTCGGAAGGACGCGTAATTTTCTGGAAAGATTTCTGATGATTTGATGGCGTCCTTTGTGGGGTTTTTCCCTGGTTTTATTCCCTTTAGCCAGGATTCTGTCCCGATTACAATGTCCAAGACATTTTTATAAATTTCCTTCTAAACAATGACCAGATCTAAATTTTAAGAAATAATAATAAACTCCTCTTTTTGCTACTTAGTTTTAAATAAACGCAGAAGTAAGGAAAAAACAATAATAAAATGCAAATGCAGGCACAGCAACAATCAATTTATACCTAAGTATATGTTAATTACTTCCTGCATGCAAACTTTGCATGTTTGAGAGTGAGTCTAGATGTACATTTTATTGTTTGCACAAACAAGACAACTTTCAATGTGTATCAATTTGTAGGAGCTAAATCTGGACCTTGTCCAGTTCCCTAGACCTGTGTTGATCCAGGAAGTGAGAATTATCCCTCTGCAGACCAGAGTCCAGGCTGATGTCCCAGGAGGTGTTAGACTAGGGTCAGTGAGACATTAATTCTGATAGATTCCTTGTCACCCTGGTAAGAGAAATAAATCTTACTGGAATGAGTGACTACTGACAAGTATTCCTTTACAATGTAGTCAAGTAAAATGCCATTTTCTGACATTTCCCCCCACGAGGTATGCTAAAATTATGTTTTTTTTAATAAATAAATAAGGCTTCACTCAAAAATCAGCATTCAAGCAAAAATTTAAAATCAGCATTCAAGCAAAATTTTGGAACATAGGTATGCTGAACCCCAAGTGTATTAAAAAATGTTTACATTTTGTGTATGTGTGTGTGTTTTAAGAGAGAAAAACAAGTGGAATTAAAGAAAAGATAAATATGTTTGATTGATTTGTAGAGCAACAAACCCATCCTCATTTGCACTGGAGCTGTATGTAAATAATTTGAACAGACCTAATGCTGCCACATTTGAGAAGTTAGGAGTGTAAGTGAAGCTTTGTAGATCTTCTTAGTGAAACTGATTTAGTTGTGCTCAAGTCTTGCATAAAGTTTTATCTTGATCTTATGACAGGCAAACTAGAATTTGATGATCACAAAATAATTATGAAGAGATATCTTCTAATGACTGGAAAATTATGAATTATTCTATTTACTGGTATGCACAAAATCATATTTATCATATTTACTTTTACATGTACTTTAATACTTTCAGGATAAATTACAAAGAAAATGTGGATATTCAGATGAAAACAGATGCAGAGGTTTGTGTATATTTCATGTAAAATCTAAATTAAATTTTTATGTCCTTTCCTATTTGTCTAGGAGTTGGATTTTTGGAAGTCCAGAAATGATGCTTTGCAACATCTATTGTAAATTGAATCCATGATAGTATTAAACCTTAATCAAAAGTGGATTTTAATTTTTCCAAAAGGTTCCTACAGATGGACTGATTCTAAAGGGATGGTATAACACTCTGACTGTGGCTATTTATGGGTCACTGACTGTGGTCAAACCAGAGACTGAGTCCCCTCCACCCCCACCTCCCCCTCAGCCCAGAGTCAAACTGCGTAAGTGTGTCTCTGTCTTAATTTCCATTGTCTACTAATTAATCTAAGGCAATGGTGTACATTGCTCTCATCAAAGTTTTACCGAAAATATACCAGTAGTATAAAGTATTATGATCTTAATAAAAGTTATGTTAAAGATTTATTGTTACAAATGTTCCTAACAGTATGGAAAAGATATTTCAAAACTAATATTTCATTATTTTTAAAAATTTAGCTGTTGATGTGAGAGGAAGCCAGGCTTCAGAACCACCTAGTCGACCAGAATGGGAGCCACCACGCCAAGGGACCAAACCCCAGCAGCAGCACCCACTGGACTATATTAACCAACAGGTACAGGCTGCACAGGCAGCTGCCCAAGCTGCTCAGGCTCACATACCACCCTCCCAAGGCATCCCTCCCTCTCAGGGTATCATGGCACCAGGGATACTCCAGCCAGGGGTACCTCCCCCATCTAAATCAGATATGTACCCAGATCAGTATCACCAGCAGCCTCAGCACAGGCCTGACTTCATGGCCAGCCCTAACAAAGGTCTGGAACCAAGGGAAGGCCATTACGACCCAAGAGGAGAGCCAAGACCAGGAAAAGATGGACAGTTTGGAGGGAAACCTTACGAGGAGCAAGATTATAGAGGAGGCAGCAGAGAAAGAGAAACTTCTAGAGACAGAGATGTGAGAAGGGAATGTGATAGGGAACATAAACAGAAAGAATGGGAGAGATTCAGAGAGAGGGAAAGAGAACGCTCAAGGGAGAAGGAAAGAGAATTCAAAGAAGGTGAAACTAGAGACTATCCAAGAAGTCCTTCTAGAAGGAGGTCATGGTCAAGATCACAATCCAGATCGAGGTCTAGGTCAAGGTTCAAGGTCACCAAAAGGCTTCACTACCAAGTTATAAGTGTCACCAAGGAGATCAGTGATCAAAATATACATTCTGGTCAAATTTTTGTATCACCTCAAACAAAATTCAGGTCACCTCATCAGAATAAGGTGAAATTAGATAAATATTCCAGAAATGGTTTTGTCTAGGTCAAGGTCATACACACCAGAAAGACAGAATATTTGTTTAACCCTAGATCACCGATGCAAGTGGAAGCCACTGTCAAGTATCTAAAAAGTATTATGACTTAATAAAAGTTATATTAAAGGTTTCACCCCAGTTCAAGACATTCCTAACCACACAGGAAGAAGGTATTTCAAAGCTAAGTACTTAAAAAATTTATAAAAATGTATGTGTAAATTTATGTGAGAGGAATCCAGGCTTTCTCACTGAACCATTTATTCAGATAATGTATAAATGGTTGATTTAATACCAAATTTTGTATTTACATGTACATGGTAAATTAACCAGACAAGTATTAATTGTAATAATTCCTCTATGCCCTGTGTCATTTTTAGGTGGTATCATGAGGTTGGAGATGACACACTGTTTGAGCCCCCCACATCTAAATGCAGTATGATACCCAGATCAGGATGAACTTCAGCAGTTTGCGAGTTTTCATGGCCAGCCCTATAAAAGCATAGTTAGAGATATAAAATACATGGTTACTGTCTTGAAATATAGAGCCAAGGCCAGGAAAAGAAAACAGTGATGGAGGGAAACCTTACGAGGAGCAAGATTATAGAGGAGGCAGCAGAGAAATGGAAACTTCTAGCAACCAAATTTTACATTTGAATGTCCAAGGGAACAATATTTCAGAAAGATTGGGAGAGATCTCAGAGAGAAAACTAGAATGCCATGGGTATACATTGCAATATACATGATGTCACAATGCTTTTGAAATCGGAAGACATGCAAGAAGGCTTTAGAAGGAGGCAGTGTCCGGATCACAATCCAGATCGAGGTCTAGGTCATATTCAAGGTCACCAAGAAGAACACCTTCAAGATCACCACGAAATTTCACAGATTACTATTTATATTAGGTTTTTCAGGATTTCCAGAGACTATGAGAGCACCTCATCGGGATGATGAACCCCAGAGAAGGTCAAGGTCACCAATTTACAGGTATAATTGATACAAGGGCATTAGATTTATTTCAGGTCATACACAAGAAAACAGATCCTGGCTTAATTTCTGTTTTGATGTAAAATGAATCCTTTATCCCCCATTTCAACTTTGAGGAAATTGATGAATCCGCCTTTTCCCAGACATATTCAGATCCTTTCACCCCAGTTCAAGGAGAGCCTTCCCCCACACAGGAAGAAATCATGGAAGCAGGCAAGTACTTAAAAAATACTATAAATGCATTTATGTGTAAATTTACCTGGAATCTAAGCTTTCTCACTGATCACAATTTATTCAGATAATGTATAAATGGTTGATTTAATACCAAATTTTGTATTTACATGTACATGTAAATTTACCAGATTTAAGTATTAATTGTAATAATTGCCTCTATGCCCTGTGTCTATTTTTAGGTGAGGTGATAGATGAGGTTGGAGATGACACACTGTTTGAGCCCCTGTCACCTGATGCAGTAGGATACTCAGATCAGGATGAACTTCAGGTTTGCAGGGTTTGAGTATCAAGTACTCATAAAAAACATAGTTGGAGAAGAAATTTCACAGGATTTACTATTTTTATTATTTTCCAGGATGTTGACAGAGACTATGAGAGCATATCATCAGGTGATGAACTGCCCAACATGGATGAACTTGATCCTGATTTACAGGTATAAATGATACAAGGGCATTGTTTATTTCAGTCTCATTAAGACAAAACAATTCTTCTTGATTTCTGTTTTAATGTAAAATGAATGGGTTTATAATTTCAGGACTTTGAGGAAATTGATGAATCCTGCACTTTTCCTACAATATTCAATCCTTTCACCAAGGAATGTACCCCTCTACAGGTGGGTTAATGATAATAATGAAATAATTTTACTGAGGATAAAAAACAAAACCCATAGATAAAAAAAACATAGCTCAGTGAAATTTCTTTAATGAATTCAACATTTTTCTAAAGTGGACATCATTAGTTACTGATCGTCACAATGCTCATATGAAAGAAGTCACTGAAACAAATATACTAAACTATTGTTTTACAGACCTTCCCAGATGTGACTTTGACAGATTATGAAGTAGAGAAACAAAAGCTAGAGAATGGCCCAGACAGTCAGACGGAGTGTCCTCCAGAGGCCAAGGTCATTCTGTCTGTGATTGACCAGTTCCTGGGAGCTGACCACCGTGATAAGTAAGTCTCAACACATTCATTTCTTCAGACAGTCCATGATAAAAGACTTCACTTTTTTTTTTTAAAAGTTTTTAGCAACAAGGTTATATTTAGGTAGATTTAATCCTAACAGCTTCATGATATAAATACATTTGATTGTAGATGGATTATTGTACTGGAAGAACTCCCAGCAAATTTTGCCAAGGGTTTATCTTGGTTGCTTGTAAAAGAAAACAAGAAAGGTAATTAATTCAAATCCTTGTATATCTTTTACTTATATTTATGCTATATGAAAGGTAAATAAATTCATAGAAATGTAAACCAAAATCTCTTTTAAAAAAAGGATTTGACCAAAATCACTGAATTGTAAAATATAGTATATATTAAATTAAAATACAGTATAATGAGATTAATGCTTGGGCCAGGTTAAACACCAGTAGTGATGCAGTGAAATCATCTTCCCATCTTTACTACCACGTGAAGTTCACTATTAGTCATCGATAGATATATCATTCTTAAGGTCAATTTAGATGGCAATCTTCAAAACATGTTGTAATTTACCAATATGTTATATTGTGTAAGGATGGTTATCCACAGTAGAGATAATCATATATTATTGTTAATTTTCAAGTAAACCAAAGTTTTGTTATCTGAAACATATTGTCTTGATTTTTTCTAACTGGGAGATGAGATTATCACTTGGTCTTTAGCAACTAGGCTACTGACATTTGGATTAATGAAATGCTAGCAGTAGATTTCATTTTGAGACACCACATCACAGTAACCCTATATTTATTATACAGATGTAGTGGAAACATTGATCAACTGGATGCTGGAGGGACTGGATGAAGAGAAAGCCATGAACCAACCAGAAGGAGCATTCAAAGTCCGCCATCTTAAGATGGGCATCACATTGGCAGGTGCTCTCTGTTCATGTGACCCAGACCTTTGTGTTCAAACTCTGGTAAATTTCTCTTGTACTTCTTTAAATTCTTTGATAACCAGTATACTGATATCCAGAGAAAATGTACTTGTTTTATGTAAACATTGCACTGATGTCATCTAATCATTTTACTAATGATTTTTAGCTCACCTCAAAGATGAAATGGAAACTTAGTGTTAATATTTGCTTATGTTTATATTCTATTTTTAAGGCAAGAGGAGTCCCGGGTTAAGGTCAAGTTTTGCTGAGAATTTTCTTTTAAGTACCTATGTCCTATAAAAGTACAAATTGGAAGATGCCTAGTGTGTTTCATTGTACCACAAACTTTATAGATGGCAATTTACAGAGGAATGCCAGGTTAATGTTTTTCAGAAGGACATCAAAGTGGAAGGTGAACAGGAAACTGATTTCCAAAGAATTCTCAACTTGATGCTGGGGAAACAGGTAAATTACCGTAATTTTCGGGTTATAGGTCGACCTACATTTTCCGGTTGAGTGAACAGGTAAAAGTTTTTGGTGTAGGTTTCATTTCGAATTCAACCTTTATAAGGCTCAATGTTGACCAAAAATGCCCCAAAATCAATAAAATTTACGTAAATTTCAGAGCAAATCTGTGCCACTTTTATAACTATTTTCATTATTTTATGCAGAAAAATTAATGCCTAGGTAAACAATAAAATATTTGTTCTATAGCTTTCTTACAAAATAAATTCCATTAAATGTCCGTTGATGACAAAGGAAAAAACTGTGCTTCATCAAGTTAATAATTCCTCAACGTGTTATCCATTGGCCATCATGCGGTAGCCATCTTGTGAAGTTAGGAAGTCGCTATCGTTTACTAAATGTAAAACCGCAACCGTATCAAAATTTAAAATACGGAAAATTTTTCAAGATCACAAGTGTAGTGTTTTACCATTAATTAGTAGATTGATAAATTGAAATAGAATTAATTTTTTTATTGTAAAAGTCTTATATTTATTTTAATGTAAAATGAGTGAAATATATTGTTGCCAGTCAATTCCTAAAAATTGTTTTGAAAGATAGTTTGAAGTTTTACAAGCAATTATGGAAATATACATGCGGATGATAAAAAATTAATTTTATTGATATGGAGTTTTATGAGCAAAGAATTAGTAATAAATGCAGGTTACAGAAATATGATTTAAGAAAGAAATATAATTTTAACTGATATTATAAGGTTTATTAAAAGCTTCTCCGTACACAAGAAGTACACTGAATTACCGCTATACAAAGATTGGCTTTTAACGAATTTTAATTTCCACAGATAAAAGGATTTACACTGTGTACATGCAAAGGTTTCAACACCTGTGTTGGTTTAATACCCGCAGGGCATGATTAGCAAATCCACGTGCCGTTATAGGGTATTAGTGTTACGCATCATTGAATAAACAAAGCCATGAAATTCATAATGGCTGTCAAATTGTGGATGTACCGGTACTCTCAATTAAATTTATAAATTAAACTTACAGCGTGGTAATATTATTTTATATTCTTTACTGTTGCTTTATATATACATTAAAAGTTCGGTTGCGGGTTTTAGCAAAAACTATAAGGCTTAATAAATGTAAAATGGCAAACTTGCACAAATGCTGCACCGGTAAATAACTAACTGAATGAACTATATTAGGAATGTGTCCAAGTTTTCATGAAGAAGAATTAGTTTAAATTTTTTATGTAGGTCTATTTCAAAGTATAGATTAAAATAAGAAACATTTTACGTGTTATTTTTGCCTCTGGTTTAACAACAGTATGAAACTTTGGAGGCATTGAACAGGCAAGTTGCCTTAAAAAAAGTAGTAACACAATTCAAAGAAGTTTTAATCATTTTTTTAAAAACTTTATTTAAATGCTGTACTCATTAAAATACCTGTTTGATATTTGCATATGTTTATATTCATGTAAGGGAATTGACCGGTAATAATAGAGGTTTACCTGTTCTGATACGTTGTATCTGCCTAAAATCTTGTGAGAGGGAAACAAAGCCTCGTCCTATATAGTAAGTTCATACAGTGGCTGCTAGGATTTTTCAAAAATTAAGGCTGAAAATGAGCCTTTCGACCTATATACCCCATCGACCTATAACCCGAAAATTATGGTATCTCATTAGAGGAGAAATCCATTTTATTTTGCATAAAGTGATTATTAGGAATATAATATTCAACGTACATAATTATGTTACAGAAGTATGAATGAAATAAAGGTGCAGTGTATAAAAAATTATGGTTTATTTTTTTTCAGAACATAAGAGTTATTGTAGCTTTAACAGCATTTGTAAGGAAGATCAACACATTGGAGTTACTTCAGAAGATGAATACAGAAGTGAAAAGGTGTGCTTTACAAAAATCTTGTAAGGGAAACAGAAATCCCTAGAAGTCATAAGAGAAAAAGAAATTTTAAAATGTATTTTCAAGAAAAAGCTGTGTAATATTTTATGTACCAGTGTATCCTTTTTTAGTGTAATGGAAGCCACACCCCCAGAGGAGAAGAGAGATGAGGGCACGGACCAGGAGATGGAGCCACTGTCTGATGAAGGGGTCATCAGCGAGGTCACAGTAGAAAATGTCATATCTTACATTAAGGAAGTCACCAAGCTGTTCAGGATTGCTCCTCACATTATTGTAAGTCATATTTTATTTACCATATTTACTAAGATCAAGAAAATATGGTGTGTATATACCTGATATTTTGTATATTTTAGTGTTTTCATAGTTGTTATTTTTTTTTTCACTTTTGTTTGTTATGGCATTGTTATTTCTCTCAAAGGCCCAGCCAAGCAGGAGTTTGCCAGGAAAGGCCATGTTTACCAAGAGACCACCTGCCATTGACCCCTACCCTGGTCTATACAACATTGCCCAGTACTGGTAAGTCATCTCTTATTAGAAAGATCAGCATACTAAAGCTGGAAATAGCTTGTTATAATAACTAATTACTCTTTATGTATAATAAAACACATGAATCTTTATTTCAGTGGTACCCTGGACTGCTTGTTCCATTTGTTGTCCAATCCCTTGACCTTTGGCCATCCCCAGCTGTTTGCAGTCATACAGGAGTGTGTGCGATCTCTTCTCCAGACCCAGCATGGCCTCAAGTTCTTATTCTCCAGGATTGACACTACCAATGGCATTATAAAGTGCCTGTTACAGGTAAGGTCTTTGTAAATTGTTTACATTTCATCTATTTGTCCTTTGGGATTCCTGTGGGATTGAGCTGATTAGGTTTCACGGTTGGACGATTTTTTATAGGATGACGGTCAGGATGATGGGGAGGAGAACCCTATACAACACCTCGGGGCGGAGATGGTCATGTACCTGAAAACTCTCCAGTGTATTGACGAAATCAGAAGTTTCCAGGCCAGAGGTGGGTCATCTATCATTTTCCTTAAAAGTTTAATTCTCCCTGTATAAAATTGCAGTTTATGGTATGTATCCTTTCATACAAAATTCTGTTATTGTCCAACAGAGATTTATTTGAATTTTTCTTGTTCTTTCAGCTCCAGGTGAACAAGAGAATGCAGACATTATTCCCACGTTACATGAGCTGTACACAATTACCTTCACTCCTCAGGGACGCCAGGCAGTCATTGATGTCATCTGTATGGAGAAAAATCTAGAGACATTGCTGCAGTTAGTGGAAAAGAAAGGTAAATCATTTATCTGGAACTTCATAGAATTTAGACACAAAGTCATGCTTGATCTTATTTGATTTATTTGTAATAACATGCAGTTTTATGATTGTCATAGTCCTATCTCTAACAGCTTCCTTGTTATCTTAAAACTTAAAAATGTCTTCAGCAAAACTCGATTATAAGGAAGTCACGGGGATCTATGAAATTACTTTGCTCTATCCGTAATTCGTTATAACCGTATAAGAAATTCATTAAATTTATATAGCTGGGGATCAAAGATGACTTCGCTATATCCGTAAATTCACAATATCCATGTTCGTACTAAATGAGTTTTGCTGTAATTATAAGTCATACAAAGATGGGCATGGGTGATAAACATGTTGATAGTTTGATGGTTAAAATTTTTTTTTATTCTGAAGGGGGGATGTCAAATTACAGAAATATTTACTACTGTATAGCATTTTTTTTTAGCATGGTGTTAATTTGGGCTTATTTTGGTGTTTTGATGGTAGCCCAATAAAATTTCAATCGCTAAAATATTCAGTACTCTTCTTAGTGTTCATCTGCAAAGGACTGAAACCCTGTGGCCACTAAAATTATTGGCATACCTTTTAGGAGGCAAAACGCCAAATTTTACAAATTTATTGAAAACCCGCTATACAGTATCACATCTTGATTTCCACCAATAGACCCAAACACCCTCCCCTCTTTACACACCACACACACACACATAAACACACTTTCATTTATTTAGAAAGCCCTTTAATAACAACAATTGCAATAAATTATGATCCCATTGATTACAGGAGAGGAGGATAAGGATAAGAGGAAGAAGTCTGTGGTGGTTGCCTACGCTATCTCTGTTATACTGACCACCATTAGAACTTTAATGGATAATGTCTGTTTTTCTTATGTCACCAAAGAAAAGAATTTTATAAATGAAATTGTTCTTTGTGGCTATTATTTCACTTGATAGGAGGGTAAGTCACTCAGCTGTTCTATACCAATCAATCTGACAAATACAGTCAAATCTGTATTTAGTGACCTATCAAAGCAATGTATATTTTCTGTTGTTACTGGCATACTTTCCTGACTGTCAAAGTTATCAAATGTGTTCTTGTAGACTTCAGTAGCAAGCTGTTGGAAATGCAGGAATGGTTGCTTCCCCTGAAGACTGCGACAGATCTGTCACAAGATGGCGTTGCTGCAGTAGTGGGCCACCCTAGAGATTGTACAACACACACTGTGTTACCTGATCAAGGCCAGGGGTACAGAGGTACGTATCACCTGTCTGTAGTTAGACCTACCCTAGAGATTGTACAACACACACTGTGTTACCTGATCAAGGCCAGGGGAAAACCCCTACACTGAAGGTTAGCATCACCCTAGAGAAAACACACATGTGTTTGATATTGAGGTATATTTTTTATTTTACAATTAACTTGGCATATTTTTAGCTCTTGTAAGATACATTTCATAGCATTTATCGGGTAAAACAAAAATGGGCACTTGCATATCGAAACACATGTACTTCCTGTATTGTAATGGAACATTTGATAATTGATTAATTAATTGTACCTCGTTATGTTTTTGTAGTTTAAGGACCTGACCAATTTACCTGTCCTGTTTGATCAATCATTAAGTATACTTGGTAACATTTTTGTAGTTTAAGGACCTGACCAGTTTACCTGTCCTATTCGAGTTACACACAGTTCTCTGCTCTGTTCCACTCTCATCAAACCACATGGATGAACTGCAAGAGGTAACACATCTTTATCATCAGTCTGAGTTAATTTTGATTGAAGAAATGTTTCCATATCATTATTTGATGATGTGTTTCTGTATTATTAAATGAATTGTTCTTCGTGTTTGTTTATTATTTCACTTGATATCACAGAAAGTGTCCGAGATCCTGCTTCGTCCCTGGCAGAGGGGGATTCCACAGAGTTCAGAACAGATCACCTATCTACAATTTTGTCTGTATTACTTGGCACACAAATAGAGATAAGATACATACACACACTGTGTTTTTGATCAAGGAACGGTGTTGTCATGGTTACTAAAAATAGAATTTTCTGTAAAATTCCTGTAAAACCTACTCCTTCTACAGATTGGTGATTTCAATATAACACACACTGTGTTACCTGATCAAGGCCAGGTTTTTGATTTCAATGAACGGTGTTGCCATGGTTACTAAAAATAGAATTTTCTGTGAAATTCCTTTAAGATTGTACGACAACACTGTGTTACCTGATCAAGGCCAGGGGCACACAGGTAGACTACACCTGTCTGTAGTCAGGCCTATCCTATGAAGATTGCCAACAACACACACTGTGTTAAAAAATAGAGATTGAATAACACACACTGTGTTACATTAAGATACAAGGCCAGGGGTACAGAACGGTGTTGTCATGGTTACTAAAAATGAATTTTCTGTGAAATTCCTTTAAAACCTACCCTAGAGTTTTGGTCTGATTATAACTTGGCACACAAACACACACTGTGTTACCTGATCAAGGCATCGGTTTTTGATTTCAATGAACGTTGTTGCCATGGAAAAATTAACTTGAAACTTTAAAAATAGATGTACATTTAGCTGATTTCAATATAACTTGGCACACACGTATATGCATTTCATGAGTTAGACTTTGATGCTCATGTTCACATATTGAGACACATGTACCTGCTATATTGAAATGGAACAATTGATAATTGATTAATTAAGTATACCTGGTTAT